AAACCGTAGTTATTTGATTCTTGCATTTTAACAAGGTTTACCTTTTAAAAATGAAAATACACTTGAAGACTTCCTTGTTTTTTAAATCTACATCTTTCACACTATGTGCAATGCCTTTAAAACTACACTGCTTTTAATTTATACTTCTATTGTTTTTAAAATAATGATAGAGAAATAGAAAAAAACCCAGTAAAAATACATGCTTTGTCAAAGAAAAAAAACAGAGAGGAAATGTTTAAAAATGAAGTGAAAAATATAGCAAAAGAAAAAGGTATATCATTTTAGCTATAATTAGTTCTAATTCATTAACTGTTTCCATAAAAATATTGCATATGATCTACTGAACCAAAGGGGAATATTTAACTGAGAAGCCAATAAACATCCTCAAATAAATTATTGAACACAGCACTGCTATCAAGACCAAAACATTTCCAAATATTTAAGAATCAGTTAAAGATTACTTTGTTGCAAAGTAACAAAACAATTCGTACTGCCCTCATGAAGTTGGCACTTAAAAGTGCTTAGTTCTAACAATCCATGAAAATAATATGAAAGATCAAACATAACTCAATGTATATTATCAGTTCCAATTACAGAAATAATCAAAATAGAATCTGGAAGTGCTTCACTCTGTCCCTTGGTCTGTTTGTTCCATTATTCACGCTACAAATACATATCTTTGTCAAATAATTTAAAATAGAGGTTAGAAAATCAAATATCAACACCAAAGCTAAGCTACAATTTCTGATGTCAGAAATACTTCTCTTTTCTAGTTCTGCAGAGTTGACTCTTTATTCTCCTTTTACTATGACTGTACTTTCAAAACCGATTAAATATTGAGAAAAACAAAAGCAATTGGGGATTTTACAAGGTGAAAATTGTCTTTAATAACTCTTGGAATGACAAAACATGTTCCAAGACTTTAAAAAAAAAATTCTAGACTTCTTAAAAGAAAGGGGAGGAAGAGAGAGAAAGAGGGAGAGAAGGAAAAGTATCAGGTTGTCCTAACATTTATTTTTATATATAGTATTATATTTTGCTGTTTGCTGGTGTCCCTAAGTTGTTTTTGGGACAACTATGAACTGGATGACTGAGAATCTCCATAGACTGTTCGCTAATGAAAATGTTTCAAATATTCAACAATACAGACTTTCACTTTTTTAGTGGTAAGATGATATCACTTCACTTGAAAGAAGGATTTTTGTAAATTTAAGCAAGCCAGCTTTCATACAGTTAACCGATTCTACTTGAAATTTGTAATGTACTCGTTGGATCTCCCAAAAGTGCTTTTCCAAAAGGCAACTGGACTTTCTTGAAAGAGAAGTGAAATGTTTTCAAGGAAAAAATCAAGAAAGTCTAGTTGCCTTTTGGAAAAGCATCTTTGGGACAACCATGACCTGGATGATTGAGAATCTCCATAGGCATTTACCCTCGGGATCCAAATTTTTATTTAGTGACATTCTTCCCTGAAAAGAGCATTTGATCCCAACCTGATGTCTTGAAATCCATCATTTGTAAACAAAGCCTGAGACTGGATCAAACTCAACTGAAGAACATCAGATGTTTGCATAAGATGCAATGGAAACTAGTTAATTTTCACCAATTCCTCATGTATTTATTTTGCATGGGATTTGAACTATTTAATAAGAAAAGTTTAGTTACAATGGATACATGCATTTCATGAGCAGTTCCAAGTCCTAAAGAAAAGTACATTACAGCAGAGCACCCAATATAAACCACATTTTTTTATACTTCATAGCTGAACACTTGAAAAGAAACAGAAAGAGATGGTGCAGTCAGTTAGCAGTTTTACAAATGGCTTTAAATTGCATACAATGCCCAATACAGTCTGCACATTGTGACCTAATTTAAGACTTGGTAGCTGACTGAAAATTTTGTTGATTTAAAAAAACACAAAAACTATTAATGTTCTGTAGTATAATAAACTTGGGGATACTAGATCATGAACATTTAATCAATTCCCTACAAATAACTGAACTTAGTATAACCCTCAAACTATTATTTCTTCAAATATAATCTTGCTATTCTAGATTTGACCTGAAAACATTTGTCAAGTTTTATGTTTTTCATTATGAACTCACAGTTCAGCATGTTTATTCCCTTTAGGTAAGCAAAAATATATTCATGAAGAGTGGTGAACCATATATAGAATTGCCGAAAAAAGGCTGCTAAAAATATTAAGTCATTTTGCATGAAATCTCAGTATAACATACTTCAGTTCAAACTTGTAATCATTTTATTCATTACTTTTCAGAATAAAGAAAAAGTATTTTAAAAACATCTTTTAAAAAGATATATTTATTGTTTTAAAATTATTTGGAGGAACACATGATCAAGTTTGAAAGCTTTCACTTTAAATTAATAAAGATAAAATAGTGTTGTTTTGTACTGTATACTAGGGGAAAAAATCCTAAGTGTGAATTCCAAAGTCACACTTCCTTCTGGCTCTAATTTTATCTCATTATACATTAGGATCCACTTCTAAAAAGTCATCTGGAGTGCATAGAGGTGTACAAAGTACCGTGTTTTCCCCCAAATAAGACCCGGTCTTATTTATCTATCCATCCATAGATATAGATATAGATATTTGACACCAAAAGAAGCATTAGGGCTTTTTTAGGAGAAACATGGTATTAGGGTGATCAGCCTGGTTGGACACCCCATCCCCCCAGTGCACATGCAAGAGGTAACAAGTGCAGGGGACAGACAGTGTCCGGCAGCAGCTGCAGCCCGCCAGCTCTTTGGTGCAGCGCAGCTAAGTCCGAGCATGGAGGCAGAGGTGGTGGTGGGGAGACAGATGATCCAGATACGGTGTGCAGCTGCTTGGCTCACAAGAAGCTTGTACAGTGGCACCGTCAGCTGGTGTAAGCAGAGGCATGGGAGGGAGACAGGTGATCCCGCCGTGCCTCCCACTCCATCCCACTGTCTCTCGGCTTACCCATGGCTGTGCCGGGCCAGGCAGCTGCACAGCACGTCAGGATTGCCTGCCCTGGTGTGGTCGTGGGCAAGCTGAGAGATGGTAGGATGGAGTGGGTGGTACGTCAGAATTGCCTGGCCCAGCACAGTCGCAGGCAAGACGAGAGACTGTGGGATGGACTGGGTGGAATGTCGGGATTGCCTCCCTCCCTCCCATGACTCTGCTTCCACCTGTTGCTAGTGCTGCCGCGCAATCCTCCTGCGAGCCAGGTAGCTGCACAGCACATCTGGATCACATACCTCCCCCTGCCTCTGTGCTCAGACGTACTGCGCTGCACCAAGGGACTGGAGGGCTGCAGCTGCTGCCAGACACTATCAGCCCCTGTGCGCTTGCCGCCTCCTGTGCTGGCCACACCCATCCCCCACCTTATTTTTTTGGGTGGATCTTATTTTCAGGGAAATACGGTAGTACCAATCTGCAATTCTTAAAGCAATTGTGTATTTTCCCAGGATTGCACAGCTACACTGCAATCTGGGAAGATACACAGCTGCTTTAAAGAGTTGCAAGAGATGCTACATTCTTATTCAGACTTGCTTCAAAACATCTGATGCACCATACAGCCCTACTATATAGCTCTATAAATTTAACAAACATCAGCATTTTATAACAGACAGCTTCATTTTATTCATTCATTCATTCATTTATTCATTCCATTTATATGGCTGCCCATCTCACCAAGTGATTCTGAGAAGTGAACAATTTTTTTAAAAATAAAAACAATTACAGTATTATAAACATTTAAATTCCTAGCAGCCAAGAATAAATTCCATATCACAATCCCTAAATTAATTAATAACCTGAACATTTCCCTTTATGTATTTGGGTACTGCATTATAATTTAATGATAATATGAATATCTTACATTGCCTTCTCAAGTATAATCTTGTACTCTGCCACTAATTTTCAATGCAGTGGGCACTCTCCCTTTCATATATATTACAAAACTTGTAATAAGCATGTGTGTAATTCTTATCTTCTATAAGACAAACAATTAGAATGTAATAACATTGTTCACTATAATGGAACAGAAATTCTGATTATTTCTGGTAATAGGAATTGTGGACAAATTCTACAACAGCAGAAACATGCTGTCAGTTGGAGTAGATAGTTTGACAGTTTAGTCTGTACACAATGTATTTATGAATGAGTAACAAATATATAAAGAAATAAAACAAATAAAGACAGACACACAACTATAGAAATCATTGCCTATACCTGGTCTTCAGTTGATCAGTACTCTTAGAATGCAAATATAAATATAATTCATGTTGGATGCGCTCTATTTCATTCATATATCTGTCGTCCTAGTGCTTCAATTATTTCTAGAACCATAATGGAGCTTGGTTTACCAGGAAATTTAATTCCACTAAAAAGAGCAAAATATCTCCAATATAGCGAGTGACACCTTATGAGACATCAGTGGAGCCCAAATGTACGTGGTTTTTTTTAGAAATCCCTGAACACTTTTCAGTGGTTTTAGTGTTGTCCAATGATATAACTCTGATACAACAGAATGCATAGTGTCAAATTTATATCATTGGACACCACGTATGAAGGCAGGTAGGCATTAGTGACAACCTTTGATAAATATAGGGAAGTCAGAAGTATCACTCTGATCTAAAAACCAGGGCAAATTAAGTGATATAAATTAAAATGAAAAAAGCTACTTTTTTCAATGGGAATGGGAAAAGAGGGTTAAGACGGAAGTCATCCATCCTCTTCTTTTGTAGGATTCATCACCACTGTTCTGGTCTTGAAGAACCTCTGAACTGGGCACGTTGCTTTTTAAATGTTTAATTATAAAATTAGAAAACTAATAAAATATTATTAAAAAAAGAAAGGAAATATCTGATGTTGTAACTTGAGATTTGTGCTAAAGATTTATGTATGTTATTGAGTTATTGATTACCCAGTCACCACGTTGCTTTTTAAATGTTTAATTGTAAAATTAGAAAGCTAATAAAATATTATTTTAAAAAAAGAACCATTGAACTGGGCTTACCTGCTGCGTCTGGTACCTTTGCTGGGCCTGGGAGAGGTACTGGGCCTGAGGAGGCAGATGCTGAGGTTGTGGTTGCTGGTTGTAATATGGCTGTTGGCAGTAACCAGTTACACCTTGTGGACCATACTGAGATGGCATCTGTTGTGGGGGAAAAGCCAATACAGTTATGAACTGAGGACAAAAATCTGTATGTGTTCAACTCCTAAAGATCATAAACACAATACTAAATGCCATGGTAAGAAGTCTCTCTCAATGGAAAGAAAGTTAATTCTAAACACAAAGAAATAATGCAGCTCACTAAACTCTATTTTGTAGATATTCTATCAAGGGAAACATACCATTTTTTTTTCTAGAACACTGGTTTTACTGAATGATTTCTTTTCACATTCTCTGAAACATCCAAAGATACCATTATCAATTATGCTTGCTCACGGAAGTTATGCTCAAGAACAGCAAAAGGGTTTCTATAGAATATTCATAGCTTGCTAGTCAGTTGTATTTATCAGAAGTGGTCACAATGACTTTACTTATACCTTTCAATTTTCCACGTAATGTTTCTGCTGCATGAATCATCCCATCTTTCAAGATATTACAGAAAACAAATTGGAACATAGGTGTATGTGCATACTAGGGGGTTTTTTTTAGAAAAAAAACCCAATTTCAATAAGTTTAGAGAACTATTATGTGGGACCCCATGATCAAAGGGCACATAGGAGAGTTGAGAACTTTTGAAAAATCAGTTAAATGAAGTGCACTTGCAAATTATTCCAGCTGCAAGGGGGAAGGATAGCATATATTTATAGATATATGTATTGGCTGGTTTTTTACTGGTTAAGAATTAAAAGGACATGTATAAATATGGAAGATGGGAATAATCACCCCAAAAATATACACAGAAGCTATTAACTATAGAAAGAAACTCAGAAAGACTAAAGCAACCTAAAGCTATAAGCAACAAAAAACTAAAACTGTGTTAAAAAGGACCAAAGCAGAAACTAAGTGAATAGAGATTTAGGGCTAATATGGCTAATATGAACAAGTTAAAGTTGCTGGGACCAGATAAATTATATCTGATACCATGAAGGTTATCTCAGAGAACCTTCTATTTTCTTTGAAAACGTATGGAGAACACTTATACTTGTCAGAGGATTGGAGAAGTCAGATATTGTTCTTAGCTTCAAAAGAGCGTGAAGATGATCCAGGTAACAGACTGCTTGATGTCAATAACAGACAAAATTCTGAAACAGATTATTAAACTGTCAGTTTAAATGCACTAAGAAAATAATGCATCACTCTTCAGTCAGGATGGGCTTATTAATAATAAATTAAGCCAAATTAAATTGACCACTCTTTTTGATAGTGTACTATTTTAGTCAATCATAGGAATGTAGCAGATAATTTGAGTTCTGCAAATCATGCAAAAAAAGTTTGATATTCTAGTAGAAAAGATATCAATTGTGGGATATCTGTGCTACCATTAGATGGATACAAAGTTGGTTGTACACCAATGACTCCAGGTCAAGTAGAAAGAAAGTGCTAATAGTATAACTTAGCAGATTGTGTTATTCTATATATCTATAATTTACTTGAAGGCTGTATAATATCACTATCTGCAGATAACGCAAAGCTAAAGGTGATAGTAATAGTTTAGAAGACAGTATCAAGATTCAGGAGAATTTTGACAATGAGTAGAAAGCAGCAGGCAGATGAATTTTAGAAAGAAAAAAAAGTAAAATCTTTCTTTTGGAAAAGAAAAAGGCAAATAGGACATGGCAAAAAGAAGATGGAACAAGCACAAGGAGCAGCCGTACAAGTAAAATAGATGTTGAAGTATTGGTGGATTGAAAACCAAACATGAGAACCAAACAGTGTTGAAACTGCAAAAAAGGAAATGCAATTTGACCAAAATCTAAAGTATTTCATCCAGTTCTGGGCAGTATATTTTATGAGTGTCATAGACTAATTGGAGCATATTCAAAGGAGAGCAACCAAAATGATAAAGAGCTTGGGAGAAAAATACTTGTGAGGAATAGCTAGAGACAACATGTATATTTAGCTTGAAGAAGAAGAGGGCAGGGGGGAGAGAAACATGAAAGCTGTCTTTAAAATATGGAACAGCTGTCATGTAGAAAATAGGGTAGAGTTTTTCAGTTATTAAAGATAAGCCAAGAAACATAGGATTTAAATTATCCAGAAGCAGATTTAAACGGGAGATCAGAAAGAATTTCCTAAAACTAAGAGCCATTCAACAATGCCTTCAGAGGTGTTAAATTCTCCTCGGTGGAAAAATTTAAACAATAATTAAAGTATGCGATCCGTAAGGGATTTTTGTAGCAGTGGATTGGCAGGATATTAAATTGGATGATCCCTAAGTTTACACTTCATAATTCTATAATCAGGTATTATAAGTATACAGTATTATAAGTAAATTCATAATATTTAATCAATAAAATTGACAAATTGCCAGTCCTTCAACTGAATGGAAGGAGCAAATTCTTAAAAATGATCATTGATAACAGCTTCATTGTATTTGCAGATTCTGAGGGCTGTTTCCCAACCACAAAATCAACATTATTTAACATACTGAGCCCAGATTTCCTCAGCAGCACTGAAGCAATTGCAGAGGCCTTGTTTAAAGCTATAATAGTGACAAAGTGGACTAACTGGCCTTTCCATAAATACTAGCCTAGTGAGCTTGTCTGGGGATGTGGAATTTGCTGCTGCACTGAATGCATTGAAGAAAAATATTTTCAAGCTCTTAAGGTGCCCTCAAGAAAAAATACGCTGATGGTGCTGGATTTGCCAATAGTCTAGACTGTCATGATGATGGTTAAATAATTGAGATAAAAGAAATGGAGAAGAAAAGAAAAATGAAATCCAGCAGTCTGAAAATAATTTTTCTCCATGATAAACATTCTCCTGCTGGTATAGCTATGACAGTTGAAAAGAAATGGATGTAAATGACAAAGAATGCCTTGGACATGCATGCTGAATTGAAAATGGGACTTCATCCTATAGAAACAATGCCCTGTGCAAGCACAGAACCAATGCCCTGTGCAAGCACAGAACCACAAAACCACAAAGATCAAATAATGCTAGTAATGACATACAGAATCTTGCAAGAAACATTTCTCTACCTTTTTTTTTTTTTTTTTACAAATTTTATTAAATGTACATTTAAAAACAGAAGTGGACATGATACCTTTTTTTACGGTGAAAGTGGTCTGGGCTTTTTTGTAAAATGGAGTAGGTTTTGTGAAAAGTAATACACAAAATGATATCAGGGCTAACATATCCAAATTCAAATTTGTTCTTTTTCATTTTCAATACTATTCAATATTTCAATATTTATTTACAATATTTTACAGTAAATTACTTCAACAAGTTCATATATCTTGCTTGAATCATCTCTCCAATTTTTAGGTAGGTAGTTTTTGGCAATGGATATGTGAATATTCATATTCCCTATTCCCTTTACCTTGACATTAAAACACATTTTAAGAGTTAAATTAAAAAAAACCACAATTCTGCGAACAGAACTGTAGCATTAAGCTCTTAAATTCTACTGCAACTATGAAATACTTGAATAAATTGTTAGTATATCGAAAGAGAATTTGTCCCATTTCTCCACAATTAAATACACGTATGTTTGTTTGTTTATTTGATTTTTATCCTGCTTTTATTTTTGATCAATTCAAGGCAGAAAAGGTATCTAAGCTCCCTCCTCCTAATTTCTCCACAACAAAATGGGTCTTTAACTAGCCATACCTAGGCATACTACACATTTCCTCATTTGCACAAGATCTAGAAATTGGATGATTACATACTAAAGCATTACTCAACAACGTGCAGAAAAATACAGACAAATAATTTTGAAAAGCAAAATTATCACACATTTATTTTTCCATTACAGGGAGCCAGTATTGAGATCAGTAGATACCAATGTAGCAGATTCTATTTTTTTTTAATAAAAAATTTTATTAATTTTTTTTTCATCAACATATGTTAATTTTTCCAATCAACAAGTTGTCTGGAGTTGCTAGGCTAATACATGTTCAATTCCTAATCCTTCATTCTTTTCTCTAATCAAGAACAAAATAAATTCCAAATTTGATAGTAGTCTGTATCTTCTTTATCTTTCAACCTCATCGTTAATCTTTCCATCTCTGCGTATTCCAATATTTTCTTGATTATTTCTTCCTCTGATGGCAGTCCTTCATTCTTCCAGTATTGTGCAAAAACTATTCTCGCTGCCGTATCCAATGTAGCAGATTCTAACCTTCTGGCTGGGTTGCTCAAGACTTTGCTCAACCGGCTGATTTGTGTGCAGAATGCTGGTACAGGTAGTCCTCGCTTAACAATGGCAATTGGAATTGATAACTCCATTGCTAAGCAACACAGTCATGAAGCATGTTGTCACATGATTATGCCAACTTACAATGGCCGTCTAGTTAAGCAAATCCTGCAGAGTCATTTGTTCCAACTTCATATGATTGCCATTTATAACTTTCTGCCAGCTTCCCTATTTGCTTGTCGAAAGCTGGCAATGAGTTGAAAACAGAGATCATGTGATGGTGAGACACTGTAATTGCAATTGCTAAGCACCCAAATTGGAATCATATGACTGCAGGGACACTGCAACAGTTGCAACTACAAGAGCCAGTAATATCCTTGCCCAGCGCTGAAACTACTAAATTCCGAAACACATCCCGTTGGAATGGAGGAAAGGTCTATTTCAGGGCTTTTTAACTTTTTCATCCATTGTACCACTTTTAGGATATGGCAATATCCGAGTATCACCAGTCGCCTAGCAAGGTGTCAAAAACTTGATGACCCAAAAAAAAAAAAAGGAAAAAAGTGATAAAGTACAGGTAGTCCTCGACTTACAACAGTTCACTTAGTGACTGTTCGAAGTTACAGTGGCACTGAAAAAAGCGCCCCCCAAGCCACAGCTGAGCAAGACACCTGCCTGCCCGCCTGGCGGCGCTCTTCCTCCTGTCCGAGGTTTTCATTGTTGTGAGCATTTCTGTTGAGGATTGGCAGCGAGGGTGGGGTGGGGGGTGTTTGGTTTTTATTCCCCCCGTCTGCTAGGTAGTTGCAGCAGGTTTTGGTCACTTCACATGACCCTGGGACACTGA